TAAATGGCTACAGAAAATTGAATTTGCATCTATAGTTCTTATGGAACTCATTTTGATATTATATTTGTGACTAATGGCTTAGAGAATTGTTCTGTTTTCACCTTAGAACTGATTTTTTAAAAAAAAATAACTTTGGGGGCATAAATTAACAAGCTATGTTAGGAAGTATTTCTTTGAACCCAAAGACGAATGTAATACAGTGTCATTCCATTCCTGTGGTTTCTCCTTTCAATAATAGTTTGTCTACATCATGAAAATTCATTGCATAAGGAGTATCTTTTTAATTATATGGGGGGAGTATAGTAGGTGCACATGTGTATGGGAGGTTATGTGCGCCCATATAATCACATGAAGGCACAAGATGACATTGGGGTCCCTCTATGTCACTCTCTGTCTTATTTCCTTGAGACTTGAGACAGGATCTCCCATTAAACCTGGAACTAGGCTGGTGGCCAGTAAGCCTCCAAAACCCTCTGATATCTGCCTGATCCACAGCTGGGCTTACATATACGGGTGACCACACCAGCTTTTTATATGGGTCCTAGGGATCTGAGCTCAGGTCTTTGTGCTTGTATACGGAGCCATCTCCTCGGTCTCAGAAGTGTAAAATTATAAACAACCGTATACAAATGCTCTGGAAAGGCAGAGTCCTTTGCGTAGTCTAATGCTCCACTAGGACGAGGAGAGAGTGATTGGCAAAGGCACAGAGAAATTTTGGAAAAGAGTGAATTATGCAAGGTTTAGCATTTTTTCCCACAAATGTCCTTCAGATACAAACAAACAGACTCTCTGTGTTTAGGTCCTAGCGTGTCTAAAACAACCCTTAATGTTTGATTGTTTTCCTCTGTTTCTGTGTCTCTAGAGGTATTCCTCATTGGAAATCCTGAGAACTGCTCAGACTTTTGACTTTACAGTTTCCATTAATGTCAACATTGAAGTAAATTTTCCTCAACATCATTCGTCTACGTCCTCATCACACACAGTTTGTAAATCTGAAAAATGTTTTTCTGGGATTCATTTGATTCATTTTCATTTTAATATGCAGTTTACTTCTTTTCCACATAGGCTTACAAAGCACAAGGAAATGGAACTAGCTTTCTGGTCTGTCTAACAGGGTTTGTCCTCAGTTTCAAATTGGGAAATGAACATTTGGGTTTAAACCTTAGTTTCTCCTTGTACAGATACCTGTGAGTCAGTTCCTAAGGGTGGTGAGTGGGTCCCACTGCCCAGACTGCACTGGGACTAAACGGCATCTGGGATGTCACCCTGTGGGACACTGCCTGGTGGCAGACTCTTAACTTTTTTTTTTAATTTTGTGTTTTTTTATTTATTTATTAAAGATTTCTGTCTCTTCCCTGCCACCGCCTCCCATTTCCCTCCCCCTCCCCCAGTTAAGTCCCCCTCCCTCGTCAGCTCAAAGAGCAATCTGGGTTCCCTGCCCTGTGGGAAGTCCAAGGACCACCCACCTCCATCCAGGTCTAGTAAGGTGAGCATCCAAACTGCCTAGGCTCCCACAAAGCCAGTACGTGCTGTAGGATATTGGGAACTCACCGAGGTCAGCTGGCCTGGGTCCGAAAAAGCCTCGGATAAAACCGGACTCTCTGAACATAGCGGACAATGAGGACTACTGAGAACCCGAGAACAATGGCAATGGGTTTTTGATCCTACTGCACGGACTCTTAACTTTTTAAGAGTTAAATGTGATATCATTTTCCACAACCGCAACCCTATTCTAACCCTCTTGCAAGTATCTCAGGACATTCCTAACTGAGTTGCATGCATCTTTATGTTCTTCTTTTCTGTTTTGCTAGAAATATACCCTGGAAATTAAATAGAAGAAGGATAAATTAAGCTTTTTAGAATTTGTCTTTTTATCTCGTGTGTGAGGGTTTTACCTACATGTATGTATGTGCATCGTCGTTGTGTCTGGAGCCCGTGAAGGATGGAAAAGAGCATCAGGTCCCCTGATGATGGAGTTACACGTGACTGTGAGCCCACGTGGGTGCTGGGAATCAAACCTGGGTCCTGGAGGAGCAGCGTGTGCTGCTGACCACTTGAGCATCTCTCCAGTCCAGAGAAGATGACTTTTAGACTGAAGTAGCCTCCGAAGCCAGTGAGCCCAGAGGGTGATTTTTTTTTTCTTTTAAATACATTGTTTTCCTCCCTATGCTTGACTTTTGAGGGCTTCTCCTGAGCCCATGACTTGGAGAAGTCTGGGAAGTGGGGAAGATTTTCAAGAAAATAATCACATTCTTATCTAGTACTGCCACTATCCTGGAAGCTTCTAAACCATCTCCATGGCTTTTCTTTTTATAGCCTTTTCTCAATCTGTGTTATTGGCAATAACTAAATATTTTATTTAAGTAATTTCTTCCCTGATATAGAATCAAGAGTTAAATGAGCAGAAATAGCTACTAGAGTAGGGAGAAGATGCTTTATTCATTTTGAAATAATTGCCTATACATACAATTAGAGAGAGTGTGTTAGACTTTTTATATAATTAGGAACACACCACTTGTTAATTGGGTCTAATCTCACATTCGGAGGGAAAATGCGTATGTCACAGTTGGAGGATTCTAGCTTGCTCTCCTCTGGAGCAGCACCCTATTCTTTGGCTCCTCTGAGGTGCTTTCTCCTCGGCCTCCTCCTGGTTTCCCTCAGTGTCACGTCAGCTCCTTAGGAAAGAGTGTGTGCTTTGGGCATTTATGTATTTCCCACAAAAACTGAACATCAGGTCTGTTGGATGTATATTTACTGTGCTTGATTAAAAATCCTAAACCCAGTGTGCTCGTCAGATCTGTAGGTGACCAGGAGGAGCAGCTGGTGAGCTAGATATCAGAATCAGAATTTTGGCAGTTCTCCCAAAGGCTGAAAATCTTACAGACATGAATATCAACTATTCAGACCTAATTTTGAAATCCAAAATAAAGAGCGCATTAGGCTTGTTTACCGGCATATTATACTCAGCTGGAGAGAGAATTAGTGAACTGGAAGAGAACTGAGGAGAAGCCACCTAAAACAAATCAGAGAGTAAAAGTAAAGAAACAGAATTAGGAAGCTAAGACACCGTGTATCCGTTAGCTGCGCCTCTCCTCAGCAGAATAGCTAAGATCATTTAGATGGAGAAAGACTTACCTGTGGCTCGTGGTTTCAGAGATTTTCGGTCCATGACTACTTGGACCTTTATCCCTGTGGTTGAGAGCCCATGGGGAAACTTTATGGCACCCAGGAGGTGGGGTGCAATGAAGAGATGCCCAAGCCCGAATATCCTCTTCAAGGCATGCCGTAGTGACCTCACTTTCACTAGCTAGGCCCCATCTCCTAGGTTCCCAGAGCTTCCCACCAGCACCACCAGCTGGGTCAAGACTTCAGGACATGAGCCTCCAGGGGACATTCCGGGACAAACTCTAATAGAGAGGTAATAGCAGGAAGTTCTGGAAGGCTGGGGATAAAGAATGAGGTAAAATATTTAAACAGACAGTGATTGATAATTGTCCAAAAATAAAAAACATCAAACAAAGAACTCTAGAAAGAGATCAAATTCCAAGCAGAATGCATTATAGACTTTCAAAGACAAGGGCAAAGTCTAAAAGTAGAAAATAGATTACCATCAAATAAGCAGAAATCAAATTTTAATTAATATTTACAGCATGAGTCTTTTTTTTATAATTGACATCTTAACCTCACTTTGACATCTAAGGTTTTCCTTTAAGTCTGGGATGCAGGATTTGAAGGACAATTAAGTACAACGGGGGTGTTCAATTTACTCTGTATAACTCCAAGGAAGGACCAAAACCTACGTATAGGAGGTCCAAATGAGTCATATCTCTACCTAATATAAGGAAGAAATGTCTAATATTTTGAGTTGTTATAACCTGAAGTAAACAAATTACCCTATATAAGAAGTGAATAGACAACCATCAAAAAGAGTTTGAATAAAAGACTGCTCATTCATTAACTTTTGTTTTACTTATTGAAACAGGATCTTGCTATACAGCTCAAGCTGACCTTGAACTTGTAACATCGCCCCCCCCCCCCCCACCCCCCTCACCCCCCCCCCGCCTCTCACTCCCAGGTGCTGTGATTATAGGTATGCACCTGGCTTCATTTGTCAGATACTTATTAAGTGTCTTCTATATACACTGTACTGTACATGTAATATAACTATATACTATATCTTACTGTAGATACTTGGGATACATTTGTGAAAAAAACCCACAAACAAATGACAAATCCCTTCCTTTGTAGAGCTTACAATAAGTAAATCATGTACTGTGTTAGAACACCATGAGTGCTAAGGAAGGAAAACCTGGAGCAAGGTGAAAGTGACCAGGAACACTAAGACGGGTTGGCTGCTTCCAGTGCAATGGTCAGAATGGGCGTTAGCAGGCACTGGCTGTGGCAAAGACTTTGGGGAAGGAAAAAGCGGTGTGCTGTGAATATCTGAGCAGTTAATAAATGAGAAGAGTCACTTTCAACTCAGGGTCAGCCTTGAAACAGATTTCAGAATAAGCTTAGAATTTTAGCTAATGGAATTCTTTCAATTATTATAAAAACATAGTAAAAGCCAGGATGGCTTCCTACCTTGTGTTTCTGAAAAGGGCGCTCATCTTTACTCTGATTCTACAAACTCCTCCTCTGAGAATCCCAGAAGGAATGCTGGCCCTTCCCTTGGCATCTCAGAATTGTGAGGTCAGAGCAGATAATTAGTGAAAGTTTGTTAGAGACCTAAGCTGTCATCATGGGGAAGAGAGGCAACAAATCTACACAGAGCACCCCAAAGCTGAAGGGTGGCCTTGCTCTTCAGACTTGGGCCGCCTTTTGAAAAAGGAAGTCAGCAAACATCCAGCTTTTCTGATTCTAAAAGAAGTAAAATGATAATGTTTGTCTCTGAAGTTGAATCCTGTGGTGTGGGCCGTTTGAAACAGACAGCTTTGACATACGCAAGATGAAGAGCCAAGGACAATTTGTCTTTGTTAACTTGTAATCTTGTGTTGCAGGCAAACAAAAAATCCCTTTGGACAGTTAAACCCAGTAAGGGCATGGTTCCTGCAGAAGATGATGTCCCGTTGACCCTGACTGCCAACCTGGATGACATCGTGACATTCAAAGACACAGTCATTCTGGAGGTTGAGCACAGCAACACCTACCGGATCCCTATCCAGGCTACAGGGATTGGCTCTACCATTGTGTCAGACAAGCCCTTTGCTCCAGAGCTCAACCTGGGAGCACATTTCAGGTAGGGAACACCATGGAGCAGTTGTGTAGCTAGTTATAGATGTCACAGTCTCGATGACATAGAACTACCCCCCCCCAATCCCTCTCCTATCCCGCCCTCACTTGCTCCTTCCTTGATGAAAACACTAGACTTTTTCAAGTCACAGCTTGGTTATAGTTGCTACAAGAAGACATTTCCAAGCCATCACCCTGGGCTCTGCTTTCCTTTCTGTTGCTGTAATACAACGCTCTGACCAAGGCAACTTAACCAAGCAAAACTTGGGAGGGTTTATTTCGTCTGGCACTTCCCTGTCACTTCTCCCAAAACAGGAACCCAAAGGCAGGAACCATGGAGGAACACTACTTGCTGGCACTCAGACTCTCGGACTCTTGCTCAGTTAGTTTCCTTCTACAGCGCAGGACCACCTGCCCAGGGAATAGTACCACCTGCAGTGGGTTGGACCCTCTGATGTCTATTACTAACCAAGACTATCCCCTAGAGACCTGCCCACAAACCAACCTGATAAAGGTGGTTCCTTCACTGAGACTCTGTCGGCGGCGGTGGTGGTTTTTTATCCATATGTTTCTAGGCTGTGTGGAGTTGACAGTTGGAGCAAACTAGCAAACCTGCTTACATTCTCCAGGCTAGCTCCCTCTACTCTGGTGAAAGGGGTGGCTGCTTTATGATGTATTTCTGCATAACCTCTCCTTTCTGGTTTCAATCAACTTCTCATCCCTCTCCACAAATGTAGAAAATGCACAGCTTGGTGTAACCTAAGTAGAGTTTACGCAGAAAAAAAAGTCATTACAAATATATCAGACATTGCCAAGCCAGTGATTTTATGAATCATATTTCACCTACTTGCTTCTCCATCATTTATTTATATTTTATGTATGAGTGATTTGCAAATATACCTGCATATATACCAGAAGAGGGCATCAGAATCTGTTATAGATGGTCATGAGCCACTATGTGGTTGCTGGGAACTGAACTCGGGACCTCAGAAAGGGCAGCCAGTACTCTTAACCACCAAGCCATCTCTCCAGCCCCTGCTTCTCCATCATAGCAGCAATGATTAAGCTGCAATTGTTCACCCTGGCTGCTCAGGAAAAGCTAGAGGGTCTGAATATTTCAATAAGAGGCAGTAGCGTGAGACCCTGGTTCCACAGAGGCATTCCGCAGTTGTCGGTAGTTGACTCCCAGAGTTTGGCTGATTTGTACTTCTCAGGTGCAGACCTGGGAACAAACCTCATGGCTGCTCCTCTGGCCTTCTGATCTAACAGTCCCTGAACCCAACTCACATGCCATGTGTTCTGAGAAGTCCTTCCCACAATCCCATCCACCCCTTGGTTCTTACTGAAAAATACCACAAGCAATAACAAAGTAAGTGATAACCCAGGAAGTTGAGTTGCATGTTCTACGCATGCCCAGTTGTATGTTTCTAAGTCAGGTAAATATCAAAACCTTCCTCTCTGCTTTATCTCTTGGTCACAAGGAAAGGCATTTGTCGATGTATGCTAATGCTTCTACTTAAACAACTACTTCTTGTTTTTTTGATTGCTTGTTTGTTTGGTTGGTTGGTTGGTTTTGTTTGTTTTGGTTTTTGTTTTTATATGTTTGTTTGGTTGTTTTTTTTTTTTCAAGACAAGGTTTCTCTATATAATCCTGACTGTCCTGGAAGTAGCTCTGTAGACCAGGCTAGCCTCATACTCACAGAGATACGCCCGCCTCTGCCTCTTGAATGCTGGCATTAAAGGCATGTATCGCTACCACCAGCCAGACCACTTAAACTTAATTAGGTACACACAAACCTAATTATAGAAAACAATATTCTGCACATCATATATTATTATTTGGGGTTTTTCTGAATCTATAAAGTGTCAAAAAAAAACAAACAAAAGGATATGCCAACCTTTGCCTGGAGATTTGAGGGTTAGTTAACAGTTTTCTGAATATATAAACAAACTGTAGTTAGCTATTAGTTTCCCCTCTGTCTGAACCCTGTTGTTCTCCTTATTAACATATAATCACAATGCCAGAAATAACCAAAAGAACCAGCAAAAGCCCTGACAGGTACAGCTCTGCCCACCGCCTGTTTCTATGAAGAAGGTTCTGTTGGCATGCAGCCAGAATATCTGGCTACTTTCACACTAAGGAGAAGAGTTGTGTAGTTACGCCTGAGATCATGTGGCCCAAAAGTCTCCCTATCTTATCCTTCAGGGCCCTGGACTAAAGGAATGCCCATATACCACTCCTTCTGATTGCATATTTTAGAGCAAATCTCTTAGATATTTAGAACTTTTCTCCCTTCCTAAAATGGAAGACGGCTCTGATGGATGGGTTTTTGTGATTATTAAAATCATACTGTAAAAAAGCAGCAAGGGCCCTATCTAGGTTATTCATACTGTATATGTTTACCTTTTGGCCCCAAACTTACCATTGGTCATAAAGTTAAACTGCTGGCTAAAGATTATTCTGTTGAGTATGCCCTGTGAGCATAAACATTTAGAGACAAATGTTTCTACCTGACAACTAAAAATTATTTCTCCTGATTACTCAATGTTACTTGTGAGATCTGTTATTTCCTGAGGACAAGCAAACGGAATGAAATCACAAAGCCTAATATGTTTTTAAAAGAAAAAGGAGCAGTTGAAGATGAGCTGGGGTGTTTGCTTTATGTTGTTGTTACTGCTCTGAATGCTGCTGTTTTTCAGAGAGGGTCTCACTATGTAACCCTGGTGGACCTAGAACTCCCTGTGTAGGCCAGGCTAACTTAGCTTTATGGTGATCCTCTAGCCTCAGCTTCCCAAGTGGTGGTGCAGTACCTTGCCTGTCCTGACATGAACATTTTTCTTGAAGAAAAATATATTGATTAAGCCTATAAATTGGGAACACACACACACAATTTTAACTTCTTTCAATATACCATAGAAATCCCAGCTCCTTCATAAAGACCCATAAATAGAGACACAATGAGTTAATGGGCGAAACAACTACAACTTGAAAGCATGAGGAAATGAGAAAGAAAGTCTGAGGAAAGTGTCTCGTCTGGTTGGCCTTCTGGTCTACTTCAGCCCAGCCACTCTGTCCTGTCAAGACTTAATTGGTGTGTGTTGTTCACACTGAGTTTAAAGTAAACTCACAGTTTACCAGCCATACCTAGATCAGGAGAAATGTATTCAACACATTTCCAAGTGGGATTCTCCTCCAGCTGGTACTGTGCTTTCCTTTCCTCACCTCAGAACCACTTCTCATAAGGAGAGTGTTAAAATAACTCTGTTCGCGAATCCTACATGACCTTGACCTGCTGGGGGAGACAAAGGATGCACAGGCCACTTCCCCATAGCCTTTATCCGGTAGTGGTGGTTCTGGGACAAAATCCAGGTTCATGACTCAACCCTGGGAGCCCTTGAATCACACTAAGTGGCCTTGTGACCTAGACTCCCTGAGCAGGTTTTTTTTTGTTTTGTTTTGTTTTTTGTTTTTTAATGTCTTGGTGCTCATTCTATAGCACTTCCAAAAGAATAAATCTTGGGGTGCAGACTCTGAGCCTCTCAGCACCTGCTCTTCTTTTCCAGCCTGGATATCCACTATTACCGCTTCAAGCTGACGAATAAAGGACGGCGCGTCCAGCAGCTGTTCTGGATGAATGATGACTTCCGCCCTGAGGAAAAGCCAAGTAAGAAGGAACCAATGAAGAAGGGACCTAGTCGTAGCCGTCGCCAGTCCCAGATCTCCCAGGAACCCGCAGATACAGGGAGCCCCGTGTTTCAACTTTACCCTGTCAGGATGGAGTTGTACCCAGGCCAGACGATTGACGTGGTACTTGAAGGCTATTCTGCCATTCCCAGGGTAAGAGGAGAGCATGGTCAGAAGCTATTTTTCCCCCCAAATAAATCTCTGCTGTGCTATATCTGTTTCTTAGGAAGGGCTCTTGATATTTATCTCAAAGACCACCCATAGACCTGAGTTACCATGGCAGCATTTCTTGCTTTCAAGGTTCATCTCTGCTCAGTTTTTTTGTTTGTTTCTATAGCTACAGCAACCCCAACCTTAAAGGACCATTTAAAGCCGGTTCTCATTACCACAGTCAACACTGACCAGCCAACAAGTCTGTGGTAGAAAAATGTCCAGTTTTCATTCCAAGAAATTTCCCTGTTAACATATAGCAGTCTCTTCTCATTTTTTTTTTCAGAAAATAACATGCTTTTATAGATGTTCTGGGCTGCCACGTCCCCATTTTTTCGACAACTTTGCCTAGCTAAATGACACCCCATTTAAAAACATCATCTTTGGGGGTGGCTGAAAAGATGGCTCAGCAGTTAAAAGCTCTGGCTTCTCTTGCAGAGGATCCATGTTCAGTTCCCAGTATTCATATGGCAACTCACAGCCAGCTATATAATTCCAGTTCCAGGAAATCCCACGCTCTCTTCTGGCCCCTTCAGTCACCCGGCACATGTGTGGTATGCACATGTGTGGTATGCATATGTACATGCAGGCAAAACATTCATACATATGCAATTTTATGTAGCGGAAATAGCCATGTTAATCTCTAACAGTGGACTTTCTAGTTTTGTTTACATCAGTGCCAGTCACTCAGCTTAAAACACTTAAGCGTATTGGCACTATGTATCTATTCATTACAGTCCCTTATGGAGTTTGGAAATCACCAAGTCACCCAGGAGTCTTTCCCACCCCCAAAACACAAACTTTCTGAATGAGATAAGGTGTTTGCTTGAGCTGCTGCTTAGAGAGCTTATGGGTTGACACTGAATTTTCTCTTCATAAAATCAGAAGCAGTAAGAAATTGTCTCCCAGAGATAGGTTGGGAAATCTGGTCCATTTGCCAGCTTCTTTGGCAAATGATTTTCACAGATTCCACCTTATCTCTTTCCATTATTTCTTCACAAAGCGTTTTCAGGTAGAATACATCCTCACTGCATAAAGGGTACCTCTCACTGGGGAGTCTTATATAATGTATCCCTTTTCTTGTTATTTGGGGCATCAGCCAACTTTGATTGTGTATGCACCATGAGATAAACACTTCTAGACACTAAGGATGCAAGGATGAATATAACACATGCCCTAATCTTAAGACCCAGTCTGTAGTAGGGACATGTTCTAATGTGGTTACCAAGAGTTGAGCATGTTTTTAAGAGGCAGTAAATCTGGCCTGCAAGGGAGCTAAATACACCTGGAGCTTCAGTGGAAGCTTCCCAAGGTGGGCTTGCAAACCATGAGAATGTCGGGTTAGTTAACAGCCCAAACCTGTATGCTCATTAATCCAGTCTATTTATGGCATAGATTTACTCCTGGGTCCTTTCTCACGTACAAAGCTCTGGCCTTCTTGGGTTCGAAGACATTTTCTACTGTTAGGTCACTAAGTTCTCTGAAGTATAGTTATTCATAACTGCTAATGTGTGTTGTGTGCAGAAAGTCAAAGAAAAGCTGGTATGCCACGCCATTGTCGGAGCCCAGAAGGGAAAAAGCTTGTTGATGTCCGTGAACATCATCTGTGAATTCATAGCACCTCTCATCCAGCTCTCCACCAGGCAGCTCATATATCGACTGGAAAAGGTCAGTGGGGCTGGGCTAGGGAGGCTGGACGTTCTAGCCAGAGCCAACGTGTTCCTGCTTGCATGTTAGAGGCTAACCTAACTGGAATCCTGTTAATACCCGTCCCCAGGACGCTATTGCTTCTCTGTTCAAGCTTCAGAGGCCAGTACACATTTAGCTACATTCTGAATGTAAACCTATAATTCTATAAAATGGAAATCCTGTTTGCATCATTCGTGGTATGTCAGACCAAAGGGAAGGGGTCTATCAGTGCAGAGTATGCATGAAAGTGTGTGAATATTCCATCATTTTGCTTTAGGTAGAGTAAACATCACTGCAGAGAAAGGGTTGGAATAGAATCAGCAACAATTACAATAATTGGTAAGAATGACTACCACCTACTGATTGCTATTGCTAGGCATCCCATACTCAATTACCTTCACGGCCATCACCTCTTTGAGAAGAGCACTCAAAGCCGTTTATTGTGGGAGTAGATTCCGTCATACTTGGTTCAGGACATCTGTTGAGAACCCCATGGACAAGATGCTATTGTGGGATATGAATAAGGGAGCTAACGAAGTCCAGGGGTCAGGGAAACGTACAAGTTCAAGTCAAATCAAGTTTTTGAATGCCTGCCGTGTACTGGGCACCTACAGTGGATACAGAGGAGAAAAGAGTCTGGCTTTGCCAGCTTGCGGGCCTTGTGAGTATTGAGGAAGTTGAGTAAGAGTTTGAGTGGCAGCAGAGCTGGCCGTGAAGCTGACAAACTCCACGACACACTGAGCACGGTCTTGCTTTGAGAGCTCCTGGGAAGTTTCAACCCTTTCACCGTAAGCAGTCAGAAAAGGTAGTTATTGGCAAACAGCTGCACTGAATTTGGTGGCTTCATATTTTTCCTGAAAGCAACTATTCAAGGGAATTTAGCGAGGATTAATTGAAAGCGGTTCTGCACAAGACATTATATGCTAAATATGCAGCATAGTTTCTTATTCAATTTTTCTGAGCCTGTAAACATTCATAGCACAGGCAGACAGTGTGCCTTTTCATCTTCACATCCTCCTGCCTTTTGACAGAAGCAGGGTAGCAGATTCTTGCTTCAATGTCTGTTGTTGGTGTTTATCACAAAATTAAAACATGCAAAATTCGGAATGTGGTAATAATTTATGATTGGATTAAAAAGTGGATTGAAGGGTCATTGAAATGGTCCGCCAGGTGAAAGTGCTTGCCACCAAGCCTGATAACCTGAGTTCAACTCCCCCCAGGACCCACGTGGTAGAAGGACATAGCCGACTCCTGCAAGGTGTCCTCTGAGCTTCCTGCTCTTTGTTTCTCTCATTCTTTCTCCTCAAACTCAGAAGCTTGGATTCTCCCCAACCTTGTTTCTCATTGCTCACCTCCTGCCGACTGTTAGAATGTATCCGGGATGATGACGAGCATATCTGCGTTACCTGGTGTGCACAAGAGCCCTGTGGGGGCTTGGCCTTTGGGCTGAATTGTCCGGCTTACAGCTGTTGCGCCTCCTGCTGCTGGCCCAGGACAGTGCATCTGATATGGTGCATTAGAATGTAAAGCTATAAACCCTGCCAGAGGAGGGGCTTTCTCTCTTGCTTCCCACTCCATCAACTCTAGGCTCTTTGCGTTGTTCATCCACGATGGAGATGGAACAGCATCTCTGTGGGATTGAAAAGGTCAGCTGAAACTTTCAGCCTGCTCGCTTCATGAAGTCCCAGAAGCGGATTCCATCTACTGATATTTGGAAGACAAACAGCCCCGAAAGAAGGGGTCATTTTAAAATAGATTGACTTCTCCAGACTTCGGTTCCTTCTCATCGCTAACCTCCAGATGGCCTCTTGCCAAAACCAGCCAAGTGTGGCTTCTTCACTTCAGAGCCATCTGCAGTGACACAGCAGCCTTCAGGGAAGGTCACTGTGTGGACAGTTCTCCGTGCAGCCTCCTATTTAGTGGGCCCAAATATGTTGCTTCCCTCTCCATGAACTGATAATACAAAGGGGGTCAGTGTCTGTGTTCCCTTCTTAGAGGGAGAGAACCAAAGGCTGGTGTCATGTGACAAATCCCAGAGCAGATGTCTGACACACCTTGGCAGTGCACAAGAGCTGGGGGAGTGGAGGCTTGAGCCCAAGGATGCTGCAGCATCCAAGCTCATCCAGGGCCTGGGGACCCAAGAGCCACAGTGCGGGGGGACAATGATGCTGAAAACAGCTGAAGACTCAGCCAGGTCGAAATGTGAAAGTTGGGGTTGGGTGATGAAATTAGAATGGGGAGAGAAAGCAAGCCAAAATGTGGAAACTGTTTTTTAAGGGCTATGCTTTATATCAGAAGAACCCCCAAATGATCAGAGTTCTTACCTTAGATGCCACAGGTTGAGGCTCCGGGTCACCTCCTACTGATGCTAAACTGCCCCTTTTCAGATCACACAACGATTAATGTTAGTGTTAGAGTGAGCAAAACCCTCTCACTCAAGAGCCATTCTGGCCCTCTCTCTGGTTGAAAACTGCAGTCCAGCAGTTCTCACAGAGACAGCATCAGCACCGCTTCTTCTGCTATTGTGGAGATCTACAAGGAAGATGCATGAGTATTTGCCAATGTAACAAGATGAGCATGCCTGTAAAGTGGATAATTTAAACAGAGGAGGGAAATTCACATGATTCAGATGTCTTATCTGTTGTAACAATTCCTCAAGTCTTTCACAAGCTGTCACAGATTAATTAGACTTTGTTCCGTGGTAGTGCGGCAGTGTGTGCAGTGTGTGCAGGATGGCAGTGTGCTCAGGGTGGCAGTGTGTGCATGGTGTGAGTGTGTGCAGTGTGTGCAAGGTGGCAGTGTGTGCAGGGTGGCAGTGTGTACAGTGTGTGAAGTGTGTGTAGTGTGCGCAGGGTGTGCAGTGTGCACAGAGTAGCAGGGTGTGCAGGGTGCGCAGGTTGGCAGTTTGTGCAAGGAGTGCAGGGTGGCAGTGTGCGCAGGGTGGCAGTGTGCGCAGGGTGGCAGTGTGCGCAGGGTGGCAGTGTGCGCAGGGAGGCAGTGACAGTTTGCTTTAGCAGCCAGGCTTCTATAGGGTTTGGGGGGAGTTGTTTTGTTTTGTTTAAAACTAAGCACTCAGGGCCTCTCAGAAATCTACCCTCTGTTTTCTGGGTTATATAAGTTCATGTTTCAGAATCCTAACACCTCATTCCACTTCATTTCCATAAACCTCTACCAGGGGAAATAAATGTCCCCGTGAAGGGAGGAGTGACCAGGTTCTTGTTCAGAACTAATGAGACTTGTTACTTGGGCTCCCTGCACTTACTGTGACTTGCCTTTGTTTCTTCTGTTTCCCTTTCCTTCTGTGCAGAAGCCTAATACCATCCTGGAAGCTGATTACCAGCCCTTGACTATAAAGAACGTCACCACCCTGCCTGTGAACGTGCTGCTCTCAACAACTGGACCCTTCTTCATATGTGAGACTGATAAGTCCCTGCTGCCCGCAACTCCTAAGGTAACTTGGCAGGGATCGTGTGTGTGTGTGTGTGTGTGTGTGTGTGTGTGTGTGTGTGTAAAAGAGAGTAGTAAAAATATACTGCCTAATTTCAGTCCAGAAAAAAATACAAAATGACCCGGGAAACCAATAGAAAAAACTACAGGTAATTGCAAATAAGCAATAACTTATTTCAACTCTCAGTCAGTGGGAAGATGCATGCAGAGTATAAGACCTGCCAGCCCAGCAGGGTGACCTGCTCGCTCCTGCCCATTGTAATGAAGTTAATCTCTACAGGGCAAAGACTTCTTACTAGGGAAATCTAACCAAAGACCCTGTCTCAAGGAACTGATGAGTACAGTCTCCCAGTGAATAAGCCCATCTGCAAGTACTGAGAAACCTGATCCAAGCCGAGAAGGATGTGAGCCCACCCCAGCTGCCAGTCTGAGGCCGGAAGCAGCACTCTCTAAATAGCCCCGTGTGGTGTCCATGAGATTCTCTACTGGGCATGGGGTCACAGTAGAATTGCCATGGACAGGTGACACCGCAAGGTTGTGGAAGAGGAGGGGTGAAGGGGAAATCCAGCTCATACTCCATTGGAAAGCTCAGCCTTTCCTTCTAGAGAGATCGCCAATGGAGAGGTGGAAATGAGGGCAGAGAACAATTGCCAGATCTCAGAGGAGAGAGCTTTGACTTAAGGAGACTGTTCTGTGAGCCACACTCAGCAAGATGGACTTTTGAAGTGGGCGGGGACAGAGTGCTTGGAGAGAGGGTGTACCAGACAGTGCCCATCTGACCTTTGATCACAAGAGAGGGAAGACCAGCTAAGGTTTCTCAGCATAGAAGACTAAAGGAGAGAGAAGCCCCAAGTAAGACACAGAAGCAAATAAACTGATGGGACTTAGCCTCAGAGAGAGTACAGCTGATATACCCAGGCTCTGAACCACAAGGATGAGACATGAGTCCTCAAAGAGATGGCAGGTGTTGACGTTATCTAGATATGGGAATAGCTAGGCTAGCTTAAAGATAGACAAATATATTTTATTTATTATAAGGAAAAAACTCACACCACAGAAATGGAAGATCCTGGCTCTGTTCGACTGTGGGAAGAAGCTACACAGACAGCGTACCTGGGTGGTGCACAGGTTTTTATCTCCCAGTCCCAGAAAGCTATGCCTAAACTAGGTTTCACCTCTTAAAGGTTACTGGTTTCCCCATCATCTCTCCCCTTTTGTCTAAACAAGAGCCATCTAAACCAAATACAAACTGTATACAATAGAAACAGATATCAAGTATAAGATTACAAACAACATGAGCAATATTAAGCAAGGAGCACATGACAAATGTTTTAATAAAAATTCTATTCCAAAGAGTCTAAATCTTGTATCGGAAATAAGCTTGGCTAAACCATAAGAGGAATGTAGCTATTATCTAATCTTCAACCCCATCGAAGGCCTGAGAGGGAAGCAATATTACTTGAGCAGGCAGGAAGTGCAATCAAGCAGCTTTCAAAGCGAGCAATATATGTTGGAGACAATTAGCTACCTGAGAAATCACCCAACATATCATTTGCAACGTTGAAGCAACCAACTTTGGCTAAAGCGTAACTGACAGACCATTTTCAGAGGCAGGATATTTTTCAGAACCATCTTTCCCTGTCTTGGCAAGATTTGACAGTCTTTTTCCTTGTGTCCTGCATATCCATTTCTGGATACCAAGTACTTTGTCAGTGGTTGAGGCATGGGCAGTTCCTTGCCCAAAGGCCAATTTTACCACACAAAAAAAAAAAGAAAAAGAAAGAAAAAACCTCCAACTGGACTGTCTTTAATGCTCAACATTCTCTTGGGAATAGATTGGTGCTGTCAGGAGTAATTGTGTCTCATGTCAACAGAACCCTAAGATATTTAAATGCTCTACAGATCCTTGAAATGGTTGAAGATTACCTATCTAGACAGACTACAATCTCTATGTATCTAGAGAACCTAATTAATCTGACTGTATATATAACAAACATGAACAACTATTGACCTAATATTTAATACCTGTATAACTTAAAGACTAAAACTTCATGTCAGAATATTGAAAAATCTGTAAACAAATGTGCAGCAAATGAGGACAATGACCTCAAAAATGTAAACAATGTGTAAGTATCTTGTTCAGATATATATATATTACAATATGAAACTATATCCTAAAGGTTGTATCAATATACAAAATGTCCTAAACAGAGGTAGAAACATGCTTGTATACAATCTGACAGAATAACCTTGCATAGGTGCACAGAAATAACAAATATAATTTGAATTTGTATCAATATACAAAAACTATACCAATGTAAATTATCCATAAATAATAGCTCACAAATAATTCACTCTATTACCCACTATTATTATCCTTTTTAAAATAAACATAGTTTCCACCTCAACCCTCTACCTGATATAAGTAACAATCAACAACCCCTAAACGGTGTTCCCAGCCCTGAGTACAAGCTTTTTGGGAGAGGGGGTATCATCCTCTAGAATTTCTTCCCACTGTCATGGGGGCAATGTTCTCTTTATGAGATCCTGCAAACGTAAAATGATGGTTAAGTTTCAAGATTACTGTCTAGTATAGTTGCGAATGATTTCTGAGCAGTCAATAGGGATTTTTCAAAGTTCTTATTTTGAGTTCTGGTCAGAACATCATGAGAAGGTGCACTATTTCCATAGATGGTACCCCCCCCCAAAAAAAACCAGTCTTATAGTAGCGCTATCAGCATCACAACCAGGTGGAGTTGTTGCTGTGGGGCCCCGTCTTCTTCCTGGAAAATTCAAATATTACTGCGGGAAAAAGATCTGTAGGAAAATATATTGTTCATTGTGGAAAACTTAAATATTATTCATAGAGACATATATTCAATAAAGAATACAATATAGACAAAATAGACATGAAAAAAGTATTTTTTTCCTAAAATCTTCCTCTGTCCCATTCCAGATAGCTCCCAATATGAGACAGAAACTTTTAATGTTCCTTTTAACAGCAAGCTTGGATTTAGAGAAGTACAGAGCCATTGTCCAACTCTAAAACCAGCTGAAAAATACACACACACACACACACACACACACACATATATGTTTAAATGTATGTGTATCCATTACCTGACCTCATAAATCATATTCCCTTTTCTCAATTATCCCTAGTGGATAGTTATTTTGCCTTCTGTCAGCATTCAAGCATCCAGGGTCTCTTGAATTTTTTGAAGATGTGTGTTTTCCTGTAGAGATAAGAGCAGGATACTGCCCCAACCCTACATGCTTCCCTTGCCACCTGTATGGTTCTCATCATTGTGGATGAGCTGTCATTTCTCCTTTTCAAGAGGTTTCTACTTTTCAAAGTGAAACTTTATTAATTTTGATGGTATCCATAGTTTTTCTTCTCCTGGCCCCATGTTGGGCACCACCTGTTGATGTTATCTTAGATATGGAAATAACCAGGCTAACTTAAAGATAAACTAATATATTTTATTTATTGTAAGGAGAAAACTCACACCACAGGAACAGAAGATCCAAGCTCTGCTCAACCGCAGGGGAAGCTACACAGAGAGTGCAGCTCAGTGGTGCATAAGTTTTTATCTCCCGGTCCCAGAATGCCATGCCTAAACTAGGTTCCACCTCTTAAAGATTTTTGGTTAACAAGGCTTTCCCCATCAACAGAGCACAGGAGAACAAATGTATGGGAGGATGTGAAGATTCAGACATAAGTACCAGGCTTAATCAGACGTCTTGGTCCACTGTTGTTCTTGTGGTTGTAATGGAATAAAAGCAGAGATTTCCTCCCTGGCCCCCACAAATGAAGAGCCCATAGCAATGAAGAGTGAATAGGAGATAAGATTGATGTAACTAAAGGATGAGATTTTTGGCTAACTTAGATAGGCAGAGTGATGATTTCATAGTGGTTTGGAGGAGGAAATGCTATTAAATCTGCATCTCAGAAAATGTTGCCATGGAGATGTGAAAAATGAAGCTGCCATACACAGTGGGCTTTAGAGTGTCTTGGAGATGAGAGACGGGACATATGAGTGAGTGCTGAAGATGGGGAGGGCGATACATGCACTAGACTCCACCAAGAAAATGTGGACAGAACAAAAACAGTGCTCTTCTCCGGAAGCATGGGGACAGTCTCCTGCTTTGGGTGGTGTCAGTGCTGTTGTCCCAGAGTCAGCCCCTTGTCCTTTTCCTCATTCTGCTACCAGCTGTGACCATAGCCTACTCATCCCTTCTTGGCCCAAGAAAACTGTACTGTGGACCAATTCCATGACAAGAATTAAGAAATGGAGGGCTGGAGAGATGGTCCCATGGTTAAGATCACTGACTACTCTTGCAGAAGACCCTATGTCCAGTTCCCAGTACCAACATGGTGTCTCACAACCTCTGTAACTCCAGTTCCAGGGGACCTGATACCATCTTCTGGCCTTCATGGATTTCTACACCTGTGTGGTACTCAAAAACTCAGCAGATGAACACAAATAAATGAATAAATATTTTTTAAAGATTTTTTTTAATGATGGCCTGTTAGTGGTAGGAACACAGGGTGGCTCAAGAGCTCCTATTTCTAGTAGTACATTTTCAGTTTTCATATTACTTATTCATGTAGCCTTAATAAAAAATCAAATTTATTAAAAATAGAATGAATCAACAAGAAAAAACTGCATCCCAGTAGAAAGTCAAGAGTCAAGTTCACAGAAAGAAACAAACACAAGACTCTCAAACACAAGAAAACAGGTTCTGCTTTGCTCATAGTGGAGCAAATAGGTGTATAGCGCCATGCAATAAACCTGTCAGATAGGCAAAGAGCAAAAGGTGGCCAGCACTTGCCTTAGGCAGGGTGTGTGGACTCACTCTCCTGTGGTGTTGGGCAGTGTGCAGTGGTTTTTGGTTCCCAAGTGCTTTGTTTGATTTTTTTTTTTTTGGATGAATCTTGTCTACTGTCAATTCTTTTAAACAAGGGGGTGTGAATGGTTAATTATTTCTTGTGTCCTGAGAGTATCTTTCTTTTACCCCTTTTCTCGAAGGATATCATGACTGGCTCTAAAACCCTTGCAACACAATTTCTATTAAAACTCTAGTATTTCCTTGGCATAATAAGTTATTGTGGAAAAGCTTGATGTCAGTATTTTAAAAAAACCTTTTAATAGCTCTCTTCTGCATAGATGTTATAGTTCCTGGGCTATCAAAGAGTCTTGTGACTTCACTAAGATATGTCTCATTGTTAAATAACCTATACCATTTTGTCTCAGGACAAGTAGGAACCTTACTCTAAAAGAACTTTCAAATGATTTCACTTATAATAGATAGATCAATGAAAATCAGCTTGGCCTTCCACTGATCGTCATACTTTTACCCCAGTTTCCCTCACGTGAGGTAACCAGCTTTACAGACATCTTGCCTATCTTTGTAGACATTCCAGAGACATAAAATCTGGAACAAATAGAGTTCCAGCACAGCCAGGACTGTTACACAGAGAAACTCTGTCTCGGAAAATTAAGCCAATCTGCAGAGATGCATGGAGATGTCTCTGTCTAAATTGTACCAGGGTGCATGTGTGCCAGAGGCAAGATGGAAGAGCTGGTGTCCAGTAGGCCTGTGAGATGGGCTTGTGCTTGCCCTCTCCCTCTCCATCACCTTCTTCCTCCCACCCCCTCTGTCCCTCTTACACACACACACACACCAGCCGACTGGCTCTATCAACTGAATCTATGCCATCATGTAACTGAAATGCATAGTTAAGTAGGCCCTAGGTAAATGGACCATAGAAGCCTGTGAAGCCCTGGAAGATTCTTATCCCTGACTCAGGCTCCTGGCATTGCTAACTATGAGATGGCTTTACCACAGTGGAGTAAGGGAATGACAGAGATTGGAAACCAGAAAAGAATGAACAAAATGTACCAAGAAAATCCTGAACTTTTTATTGATTTTTTTATTGAGCTCTACATTTTTCTCTGCTCCCCTCCCTGCCTCCCCCGCCTTCAACCCTTTCCCAAGGTCCCCATGCTCCCAATTTACTCAGGAGATCTTATCTTTTTCTACTACCCATGTAATATACATACATATATATATGTATGTATGTATATATACTATATATACATACTACTATGTATATACTAGGCTGAATATATATTAAGATCCTCATGGTTCTGATGTGTTCTTGGATTTCATTTACCAGTATTTTATTTAGTATTTTTGCATCAATGTTCATGAGTGAGATTGGTCTGTAATTCTTTTTCTTAGTAATGTTTTTATATGGTTTGAAATGCTGCACTTTACACTGAACAGAAAACACTGGGAAATGGAAAATACCATCCTTAATATTTAGAATTGTAGGCAACGGAAGATGTTAAAATTAAATCTGATCCTATCTGGGCTACTTTGTACAAAGTCTATTCCTCCATGCTTCAGAAGTCTTTAAATTTATCTTAAGGAAAGAACTTCGCAGTTTGTCCAGCAAGAATATTTTCCAACTTAGTGTATTTTTGGCCAAGATTTAATAAGTTGCTCAGTGGTTAGGAGCACTTGCTATTCTTTTGAAGGGCCTGAGTTTGGTTCCCAGCACCCATGTGGCTCACAACCACATGTCTCTCTGCTTCCAGTGTTCTAGCTCCCCCTCTGGCATCTATGGGCACTTGCACACATGTGCTGTGCACACAGACAAGCAGGCACATAAGCACACATAAATAAAAAAAAGTTTAATTTTTAAGAATACTTAATAATGAGCACTCACATCAGGTTTGACTTTGCGCAATTCATAATTTCTTTTTTTGTTTTTTTTTTTTGTTTTTTTTGTTTTTTTTTTTTTGAGACAGGGTTTCTCTGCAGCTTTGGAGCCTGTCCTGGAACTTGCTCTGTAGACCAGGCTGGCCTTGAACTTACAGAGATCTGCCTGTCTCTGTTTCCCAGGTGTTGGGAGTAAAGGCGTGCACTACCACCACCCGGCATCAATTCCTAAATTGTTATAACCCTGAAGTTCTTAGCCAAATCATTTCCTTCAAATATCACACATACACACATGTGCACACACTCTCATAGCTCTCTTAGTCTGTGTGCTGATGATCCAACAGTACTAGGCTGAATACTTAATAAGCAAATTAGGCTTATTTGGGTTCACAGTTCTGCAGGTAAAAGCATGGTGTCACTGGGAGAACCTCGTACTCTTCCGGTGATGACAGAAAGCGGAAAGACAAAAGGGTGTGTGTGGAAGACAGCATGAGGTCAGCCTTGCTTTGTACCGACCCACTAGTGTGTCAACTAACCAGGTCTCACTCCTGGACTCTATCCCCAGTGACAATCAATTTCAACATGAGTTTGAAAGACAAAATAATTTTTTAAACCCAAACAATAGCATATATATGTGTTAAAAGAAACATGTATGAATGTATGTGTGTATGTAAAGTTGTGGACGTGCATACATTTGACTGTCCTGTGTCATGTATCATGCTGGACTTTCAAAGTACAGGAGTTGGTGACTTCATGTTATCTTGTTTGTAGCCTATAAAACTGGAGGTCAATGAAGAGAAAAACCTGCTGGTCAAGTTTGACCCCTCCTACAGAAATGACCTGAACAACTGGGTGGCAGAGGAAGTCCTATCCGTTAAGTATGTGGAGCACCCTCAGGTGGACAACGTGAACTTGCGTGGAGAAGTGCATTACCCCAACCTCAGCTTCGAGATGATGGAGGTGGACTTCGGCTGCATCCTGAATGATACCGAGGTCATTCGCTACATCACCATCACCAACTGTAGCCCCTTGGTGGTGAAATTCCGTTGGTTCTTCCTGGTGGACGATGATGAAAACCAGATAAGGTACGGCCTCCCCAGAAAGCCCCCGGACCTGCATTGCTCACACAGTCTCTTTGTAGCTTTCCTCTGGGTTCACTGTAGTCTTTGTACCGGCCTTTCGTGAGCATCTTCAGGCTAATGCATCATTGCTGATGGAAATCACAGAGTCTAAAGTCGTGGCTCAACTCAAATTTCAAAACAGGGAACACATTTGTGAAAACCCTGTCACCACCAAAGTTAAGAAGGAATATTCAAAAGTTTGTTTTCTCTCGGGATCTAGTGGCTAGCACTCTAAAAGTCTGTCAGTAAAAATAAAGTCGTTGCAGAGTTTTTAACTGATCACTTCACGTGGTAAGAGCACGTCACGTGAAATCTATCGTCTCAAACAATGTCAACAGGCGTGATGCTCTATACAGGCTTCCAGAGCATCACCATTTCCTATCTAACTGAAACTGTTGTTACCCGTTCTCCTCTTCCCCAAACTTAGGCGATCACCCCTCCGCTCTTTGATTTATGAATCTGATTATTTTAGATAAATCATAGGTGGCTATTATAAAAGAAGCAATGACACTGTTAATAAGATCTGGGTAAAGTGGAATGCTGGACACTGTTACTAGGAAGAGAAGATGATGTTGTCTGTGGGAAACAGTATAGAGATGCTGAAGGCAGCTGAAAGTTGGCTCAGGGATGTGGCTGAGAGATAAGCATTGCGTCCTCACGTTTTACACATGTTGTCACATACGGCAGAATTTCCATCCATACAAGCTGAATGATCTGCTGTATGTAAATGCTCCATCCTGTTTACACATTTGTGTTGGCATTTGGGTTGTTTGAAAGGCTTATCTTTGGGGGATAATGCTGCAAGGAACAGACCGCTTTCAGATCCTGCTTTTCGTCCTGCAGATAAACACCCTAGAGTGAGATTACCGGATCAGATGGTGGTTTTATTTACTTACTCTTACTGCTGGGGACGGAACCCAGAGTTCAGTGTGTGCTAGACAAGCACAGAGCTACTTCCCCAGGTCTGTTTTAATTTGAGAAGCCTCTGTGCTCAGTCCCACAGCAACTGCCCCATTGTGCGTCCTGGCAACAGCAGGCTTGCCTCACCAGACTAAGGCTTCTCTAACAGCTGGGAGGGGACCACCCGCTCAGGCTGTGATGTGCATTTCTGCGATGATTGGTGATGCTGAAGGATTTTAATGTCACTGCTCACAATGTGTACATTTTTGGAGAGATGTCTATTCAAACCCTTAACCCATTTTTTAAATGGGCCCATTAGTTTGGGGCTTTGGGGATTTGGTTTGGCTGCTGGATTGTAGGAATTGCTTACTAGTTTTGGAAATTAGCCCCTCCTCGGTTGTACAGCTGATGAATAGTTGTTCAGCCTTTTCACTCTGTCGGTCTTTTCTTTTTGAGTTTGATGCCCCCACTTACTTTTGTCTTTGTTTCATCAGCTACAGAGTTTTCTGTGTGCATGTGTACATGTCCATGTGTCGGCCGCTCCATGTGTGTGTGTACAGGTATGCATCTGCATGTGTGCACTTATGTGCACACGCATGTGGAAGCAGAGGACAGCCTGGGCGTTGTTCTTCAGGCACCAGCCACCATGGCTTTTTAAATTAATGTGAAATTTTAAAAGTTAGCTTCTAAGGAAAGGGAGAACTAATTATATTATAATCTCAACAAAATATTGGCAATGAATAACCATGGGAAAATATGTGATTGCGTGACATTTTATAGTCAAAAGAATTAGCTACCAGTAGGTCTCAGTATGGCATTTTGATACATACTTCGCTGTGATTGCTTCTTCTTCCCGATGGCCCCCCATCTCTCTGCCTTCCTTTCCCACTGGACTCCCCACCTTCGCTTTGCTCTGTTTGTGTTCTCCACCTCCCTCCCCTAAAGCCTCTAATTATTCCATTCTCATTCCTCCCTTTCTGGGCTCTGAACTGCAGAGCCACCTCTCCTGCCCTATCAAAGTAGTTTGAATTTGTATTTCCCTAACAGATGAAAGTTTGGAGCACTATTTAACATACTTATTGGCCATTGGCATTTCTTCTTTAGAACACTATCTCTTCAGGTCATTGTCCCATTTATTGCTTGGCAACTTTGTTTCTCTGGTGTTTAATCTTTTTCAGTTTTTCCTATATTCTAGATATTAACCCTTGTCTGAGACATGGCTGCCACAGAACGTCTCCAGTTCTGTCTACTTAGTCTGTAATGGTTTGGTTGGTTGTTGCATTGGAGGGGGATGTTGCTACACAGAAGAGTTTTCTGTCAATTCTTGGAGTGAGTTCCTGTGCTATTAGGTGTCCGTTCAGAAATGTGTTGCCTATAGGTGTGTCCTGCCGTGTTCTCCTTCTACCGTTCCAGTGCTGCAAGTTTTTAATTGACCTCTGTGACCCAGCTGGAGTGATTTATGTACCGGGTGAGAGCTATGGGTCTAATTTCATCCTTCTGATGGTATCTGTGGTTTTTGTGGCAGATTCTCTCACTATACTGGAGCTCGTCTGACAGGCCAGTGAGCCTCTTAACCTTCCATATGCTAGGCTAACGAGCACATGCTACCATACCAGACTTTCTCTGTGGGTTCTGGTGATCAAACTCAGTCTTCATGCTTGTATGGCAAACTCTTTACTAACTGAACTTTGCTCCCCCTACCCCTACCATTTGGGGTTTCATTTTATTTACTTTAAGGGTGAGGTGAATGCCATGGCATGCATGTGGAGGTCAGGGTACACTTATAGGAACTTAGGCTCTCCTGTGTGAGGCCCAGGATAAAATTCAGGTCATCAGGCTTGGTAGCAGGTGCCTTTGCCTGATGAACCGTCTCCCTGGCCTCTAGAGTTTCCCCACAAGCATTTCAAACCCAAAGTATGGCCTACATACATTGAGTGTTCGTATTTCTTGTTCTGAATATTTAGACGGATTTCTGTTCTGGTCCATATATGTATCTAGACACAACAGAGCTAGAAAATCATGGGTGATGGTGAGGACCTCACTTTCTGCTTAGTCCATGACCGGGACTGACAGAGTAATGTCTACTTCCTTCCTGCATGTTTTGACAGCCCGGTGTCGAGCTGTGGATGGTGTGCAGCCTCTTTAACTGAGGAGACCTCTTATTATGTCCTTAGTGGCTTGTCAGTGCTTCCAGTACATAATCCGCGTCTTACATGTGACAACGGCCCTTTTCTTGCCTCTGCTCGTTACCATGGTAACAAAGGCTCGCTCTGAATGCCTTCTGTAGACATCTAGCAATGACCCAGTGTCTCATTGAAGCTGGCAGCCCATTCCTGGGCCTGGGCCTGAGCCTTGGAGCCTGCTCATTAAATGCCATGGACTGTTTGGGCTTGGAACAAAATTCTGTAGATGAACATTTAAAATAATTATGGAAAAATCAGCCAACCTGACCTAATACACTTTGAATACCAGATTTTGTGAAAGTATTCTGATGTAACACAGCTAAATGAGCTTCTTCCATCTGGGAGCAAGGGCACGCTTTATTTATTTTTTACTTTTTGAGAGGCTCTTTCCATAATTAAAATAATGACATTTTTAAAATGCACTTGGCCAATGCTGACTATGATACATTGAATTTTTCATCGATTCAAACATCTATCAAAACATTTTTCTTTCTTTCTGCAGTATCTTCCTTTATCTTGATAGTGAGTCTCTCTTTAAATTCAAAGAGTCATTTGGCCAGGGTTGATAAGGAGCTCAGCTTTACACCAGGGACGCGAACGTGGACAAGACATGAGCCTCCCCGAGGCTAGAGGGGGAAGCAGGTGTGGAAACCATGGAGGACATACTGTGGTGACACGTTCAGAGATGTCACGTCCACATGTCCTAGAGCAGAAGTGGAGGGGGATTCCAAGTCATAGGCACTGGGTATGGATGTAAGCTGGACTTTTAAATCACAGAAACCCACACCTTGTGTTGAAATATGAACGTTGGACAGAACTCAAAAGGCAGAGCCAGAACCAGTCTAGCCCTAGCCTGGCTTAAGGCAGATTCCTGTAACACCATCACCACGGATGACCTATCTGCCCTTCCCTCTGCTCGCCACCGTCACATGTTGACCGCATTCGAAGGTAAGCGTTTCCCAGTCTCCAAATGGCTACAGGCATTCCAGACTCTGAATGCCTAGGGAAGATTCATTCTGGTCAGACTGATTTAATCACACTTCCTGTGCCTGCCCCAAACCAGGAAGGTGATGTGCTTGTCGCGTTGTCATGGCCACGTGCCTCACACCAAGGGCTGCTGGTAGTGACTGTGGACCCCTGAGGTCGAGGAAGCTGAGATAGGACGGATCCCTAAACAAAACCGGCTTAGGGAGAGCCTGGGTTTGGGGATGGGGCAGAAGGTGGAGCAGCATGGCGAGGGCTTGGCTCTCCTTGGATGAGAAGAGAGAACAGAGAATGCACCTTCAGAGGTGCACTGGCAGCTGTGTGCAGCGCCCGGTGCTCCCCATGGAGTGGAAACTGTCGTTATCATTCCTTCTTGACTGGCAGCTTCCATAGTCCCTTGCTATTCTTCCTGCCCCTCCACCCTCCCTTCTCAGCTCTGCCAATAGTCGCTTCAGGGGAGTAAGATCCCCTCCTCTCAGTCGTCCATTCTCGCTGTAGCTTCAGCCTCTTCTACTGCTGACTCTGGTCCCCTCTGCTTCAGCTCTAAGTTCAGGGCGCTCTTGATGTCTTCTCTCGGCTGTCTCCCAAAGGACCTGTGTCCAACATGCTGCACAGTAATTCTTGTCCACCCCCACCCCTGTGTCTTCCTTCCTAACCCTCCCTCTCCTCCTTGTCCCAGTGAGTGGCATCACTATTCCCCAGGGAAGGGCCAGAATTCTTCTTCATCCAAACCCCGCCCACTACAGCAAACCCACCTGTGCTACCTTATAAAAACCTCTTGTTGGTTTCTACTGCTCGGACTCTATTTTATTCACCATCACCTGTGACGTGGGTGGTTGTGACAGCCTTTACCGGGTCCCCTGCTGCCACACGAGCACCACAGTCTCATTCTATTCG